CCCTTCATCTCTGAAATCAATTTAAAAATATATTTTTTTAAGAGAGAGAGAAAAGAACTTCTGGAGCTCATTTTATATATTTTGTGTATTAAAACATTTTAAATTTATTTATTTATTTTTTTATGGAATTTATTTGAATGGCACTGGTTAATAAAATTATATAGGTTTCAGGTGCACCATTTTACAACACATCATCTGTACACTATTATATGTTCACCACCCCATTAAATCTCCATTCATCACCTTTATCCCTCCTGTACCCTCCTCCACCTCCCTCCAACCCCTTCCCCCTGCAATCACCACACTGTTGTCCGTGTCAATGAATTTTTCTTCTCTCTCTCTCTTTTTATATTATGAATAATGCTGCTATGAACATTCATATATAAGGTTTTATGTGGATATATGTTTTCACTTATCTCAGGTATATACCTAGAAGTGAAATTGCTGGGTCAGATGGTAACTCTATGTTTAACATTATGAGGAATTGTAAAATAGCTGCACCATTTTACAATTCCTCCAACAATGTATGAGGGTTCCAGTTTCTCCATATCCTTGTCAATACTTGACATTATCTGTCTCCTTGATTATAGCCATTCTGGTGGTATGAAATGGTATCTCCTTGAAAATTGATTTACATTTTCCTAATGACCAATAATGTTAAACATCTTTTCATGAATGGCTTATAGGTCATTTGTACATCTTTGGAGAAATGCCTATTCAGATTCTTTGCTCATTTTTTAATTGCTATAAGAGTTCTTTATACATTCTAGATGTAAATCACTTATCATTATATGATTTGCAACATATCTTCCAGTCTGTGGGTTGTTGTTTTTTTACTCTCTTGATTGTGTCCTTTGAAATACAAATGTTTTTAAATTTTATAAAGTCCAACTTGTTGATCATCTGTTTTATCACTTGTACTTTTGGTGTCATATCTAAGAAATCATTGCCTAATCCAAGATCATGAAGATTTATTCCTATATTTTCTTCTAAGAGTTTTATAGTTTAGCTCTTCCATTTGGGTCTGTGACCCACTTTGAGTTAATTTTTGTGTACTTATGCCTTTTGCAACAATTCATGGAAGCCCTGGCCAATGAGGCTCCGTTGGTTAGGCGTCGTCCCCGTGCACCAAAGGGTTGCTGGTTGGACTCCAGGTCAGGATACAGGTCAGGGCACATGCACAGGTTTGGGCTCTAAACCAGTAGTGGGTGTGTGGAAAGCACCCAATCGATGTATTGCTCTCACATCAATGTTTCTCTCTCTCACTCTCTCTTCCTCTCTAAAAATCAATAAAAATTTCATATATTGAAGTGTAATTTACATTCAATAAAATTGATCAATTTTAGGTATACAGTTAAATTAGTTTTATCTTACATACTTTTAGTCATTCTGTATTGTTGGATTTTTTTCCTGAGAAGTTAGTGTGTGTGTGTGTAGCGGGAGGAGAGGTAGAAAGAGAAAGAGAGAATCACCTTCTTAGGGGTTCCCACTTACTTTGGCTTTCTCTTGCAGCCCCAGGGATCCATTTAATTATATATGGGTTGAATGAATGAATCAAGTGACAGTCCATCAGTGTCTGCTTTCAGAGCCACTAGTACTACATGACCACAGTTATTGTCACAGTTGGAATGGGGATGAAGACTCCTCACTGGGCTCCTACGTGGGTATGTCTGGGTTTAATGGGCTGTTTTCTAATTTGTGATTCTTTCATAAAGAGTCCCCTTTCAGGAGAATGAGAGTCCTGTCGTACCCTATTAATGGGGCCTGGTTTCTCTGCCTCAGGTTCCCTCAGTCTTACGTTGGGCTGTCTCACCAGCACTTGGTCACCTCTACCAACAACAGTAGGATGTGGCTGACCCAGATACCCTGAGCTGGGGAACCAGGAGGGCTCGGGGAGTTGAATGGAAGGACCAGGAAGTAGGAAGCCACACTTCCCATCTTAGGCCTGCAGCCCTGCTCACTGAGCCATGCTTGGCCTTTGCATTTTCTTCTGAACCATGAGGTAAAACTATAGGAACCCCCACCCCCACCCCTCGTGCCCTGCCCAGGGATCAAGCAACCTTGGCGTATTGGGACAACACTCCAACCAACTGAGTTACCTGGCCAGGGCTTATGAAAGGAATCTTTTACAGGGTGTAGCCAGGCTTAGAAGAATACAGCTTAGAAGAACAGCTATCTGAGCACATTACTCCAAAATGATGTTTTCCCAAGAATGTATTAAGGTTATATGTTGACATGACTGTTGTTAAAATGATGGCTTTTGAAAAGATGTTAGAGAAAAGCAGGACCAGAGGGGAAGGAAGTCAGAGGTGGTCCCTATTGTGCAGGGTGCTTGCTCTACAGCCAGCTCGGGCCTCTCATTTCTTGCCCAGCCACTAGCTTCCTCAGTATTACCCCCGTTTTACAGAGGAAACAGAAAGTGACTTGCTCAAGGTCATCAGCTTAGAAATGTCTGAGCCAGGATTCAAGCCCACATTTCACTATATGTACTGCATGGTGGTCTTAGCCACAAGGACATTCCCTCTCTTCCAGTATCTCGGCCTTTAATATTCCTCTACAGTAGGCAACAGGCATAATAAAACAACAAAGTGTTCTACCCTGCCCTCCTTTTTCCTTGGCCTGAGAGTCTGAGGCTGGTGGGGGAATCTTGTGTTGTCTGAGCCAAGGGAGAGGAGGGTGATCAAGGAAGAGGGTGTCCTACAGAACTGGACGGATACTAAATAAGTACCTACAATGAGACCAGAACACTGCTAAACTGCAGTCATGAAGGGCAAGGCAAGGGGACGCAGAGGGGACTCATAAAAGGACTAGAACTTGCTCTGGGCCTTAAAGGACAGGCTGTGCAGGCAAGACAGGGCCCACATCCCTGGTGGAGGGCACTGGAATGAGCAGAGCCTGGGGCCAGAGAAGGGGCCAGACCACACTGACCTGTCCCAAAAGAAGCAGAATAGTAGGGAGTACCCTGGATAGACTGAAAAGGGCCCAATACCGAAGGTCTTGAGAGGCAGACAGTAGAATCTGATAATAGGGAGCTATTACAGGTTCTAGAGTAGTATCCCAATGAGATGGGAAATAGAAATAAGGGAGGGAATTAGAAACAAAGGGAATCAGTACAAAATTTGTAGGCCTAGTAGAACGATTTTTGAAAGCATTTTCCAAAGTTGGGACTTAGCCACAAGGACGCTACCTCTCTTCCAGGATCTCAGCCTTTAATATTCTTCTACACGAGGCAACAGGCGTAATAAAACCACCAAGTCTTAGCCCCATCTTCCCTTCAAAAGCCCAATGTCCGGGGCAAAGCTTCCTGTTGCATCTTAGGAGGCCCAAGAGCTCCCACCTAAGAGCCCTTCGGTCCTGCTTGTGAGATTTGCAAGCCTGTGAAGATGAAAAAAGCCCGTCTAGCTTCAGGAGAAGGGTGTCTCAGCTGAGCTGTCTTGGGAACTCAAGCTTTCCTCTGGTCTCAGTCGAACCATTTAAGAAAAGCCAAGTGTGCTTGCTGCCTCCTAGTCCTGGAAAGGGGTTAATGCTCACTGTGCATCCAGCCTGCATACACCAAGGCTCTGCTCTGGAGCTGGACACAGTTGTTTTCCTCACTCCTCTTTTGGGGCCAGGGAAGCACAGCCGTGAACATTGGCACGGATCTGACCTCATGGGAAAGTGACACCAGACAGATGGTGAGCCTGCTTCACTCCCAGTTCCTACTCTGAGGGGCTCAGTGGACAGGTCAGCCATGGTCAGAAGAAGATGGCCGTTCAAGGGCTTGGGCCTCTGATTCCTAATCTGTAAAACATTACAACCCCCCACCAGACCCACACCTCACAGGGTGGCTAGTAGGAGGCTGTGCTCAGAAAATGAGTGAGAGGGCTGTCCTAAAACTGCTCTGGGCACCGTCTCATTTGCTAACACCATTTTCAAATCTAGTTCTAACACAGATTCATCCACTTTTGGGAATAAGTCACTCAGTTCTGCCAGAGATGCGAGTTTTCAAAACCATCCCAAAGTTCAGGACCCTGTGTCAGAATCCCTGATGGAAATTCCTGGGGCTCTTGGCCAGCATCTCCACCGGTGCCCAGGGATGTGTGTGTTAACGGGGGGCCCAAGGGATTAGACTACACACTCGAGTGGAAGAACTACCATTTTACAGTTGGGCAAACAAGGCGTATCTGGGACCAGGAAGAGAAACAAGGGAGATAAGTCTCCAAAGGCCAGTGTGGGAGGACTGCCTGCCAGTCCCAGGGAGTGAGAAGTGGGAAAGGCCTTGGCCTTCATCTGGCCCAACCTCAATTTCACTGATAAGGAAATTGGGGCCCAGAGAGTACAAGGAGTCCAGGTCATCCAGGGCATTCTTAAAAACAGGTCGGCAATCCCCTTGCTCTCTAAGCCCTCACTTGTCCTTCCGTCACCCTCATGTGCATGGGTGTCTGTTTGTGTTCTACACCTGCCCGGGCCACACCTCCCATGAGGTCATGTCTCTTTCTGAGCCCTACTTTCCTTGTCTAGTAAGAGCCTTGAAGGAAATAGTCTTTTTTAAAATCCATGTATTGATATCCCTGCCCTATAGCCTTTTTATATCCAAAGATAAAATTTGTAATTTTCATGATTGCAGCACAAATAGAGCTTTTTAAACAGAAACAGTTTCTTGCAGTCCTTTTATTACCTGTAAGGAACTTGGGCTTAGGGGATTCTTGTACCTGGGCCTCCTAACCCAGGGGGCAGCCAGGTGAGCTCTGCCTACTGACTGGCTCTGTGGGAGGTCTGACTCACTCCTCACCTTCCAGTGATTTCCCCTGGTAGCCTCAGTCAGCAGAGCCAGGGATCCAGGGTTCTTGGCACAGATGGCACACAACCCACATACCTCCATTACCAGGCTGGCAGGCAGCCCCGGAAAGGGACAGAGAAACGCACAGGTGGACCTGAATTTGATTGAACCCACCTTTTAACAGTACCCATCCCACCCCACTCCCTTTCATTTCTTAGCACTAATAAGAGACTCAACCAACTTTTAACAAACACTTTTTTTATTAGAAAAGTACAAAATATTGCATAGGTCTTAATACTTGAACATCAAGTGTATTCATGAACAGGGAGTATCTTCATGTAAACAGTTCTAGATGGAAGACCCAGATGGCACTCCTCTGGGGCAGGGGTGCCAGCCCCCACCCCAGTCAGCCCCACCACTCACAGATAAACTCTTCAGTACACTTCGGGGGATGGGACAAGCGCAGCTCCCAGGTGTATTTTTTTCTCAAGTGTCAAAGATCCCCCAAGTGATCCCAACACCCACCCTTCTCTACTCTTACATTCATGCGTCTGTAAGATAGCTGCCTAGAACAGGTCAGTAGTGAAGCTCTGGTCAAAAAAACAAAAGATGCAAAAACAAAGAACACGCACATTTGGCCCCTTCAGACCATGAGATACACAAAACACCTCCATGACCTCCCCCTCCCCCCGGGCCAGCTACCTTGAGCACACACGGATTGCAATTGCAGAGGCCAGTGCAGCCCAGCTGCTCTCCTGGCTGTCACACCACTGTCGTCTTAACTGTCAGTAACAATAAAAATAAGGTACATGCTACATACACATCCAGCCAGAAGCCTGGTGGCCCCTAAACCTTTGTTTCATGCTACAGTACTGAGGGCAAGCCTGTGCCCACAACGAGAAGCCACCTCTACACACCTCCGTGAGCTTCCCAAAAACACTTTCTCCCCCACCTCTCCTTCCACCCCTCAAGTGGCTGTTGTCAGTTCTCTAACTAACAGGCAGCAAGCAGCTCCTCAGCTCCTGCCTGCCAATGTCCACCCCAAAAGTTCAGTTGTCTGCTGTGGGGTCGGCGTCGGCCCCCGGCCCCAAGTTCAACATTCCTCGATGAGCAGCTGCTCGGAGCTGTACAGCTTCTTCTTGATAACTCGGAAGCCGGTGCTCAGCGTCAGGGACTGGCTGAAGCCAGGGACGAAGGGGCTATTGGCGGAGCTGAACAGCCCCTGGATCTTGGGCCAGAGGCGTGAGTCCAGGCGCAGCACCAGGGTCAGCTGGAAGGTGGGCACCAGGCTGGGGTCGAGGGCCAGCTGGCCGATGCTGTGGCAGCTCTTGCCCTGTTCGACGCAGACGTCCAGCAGCGCCCCCCGCAGGCCGCAGGGCTCGCTGTAGGCCAGACGCAGCAGTTCCTTGCCCACCTGGCTCACC